ATGTAAATACATAACATATCCTAATTAGTTATTCATCTAGAATAACACAAGATTAATGAGTAAGAATTCTGGTATAAGAATAAAAGGCTTTAAGTAATAAATTACATGAAATAATCTTATAAAAGAAAAAGATCCTTAGAGGTGAAATAACCAAAATACCTTATGGGTAGTAAATTTCTTATGGATTTTATAACTGATTAAATATATATATTTTTTGTAATGCATGAAAGATTGTCATGTTGCATGACTTGGTCATGATATTGGGAAGACTTAAGGTAAGTCGACCTGATCCTTATTAAAATGATGCATGATGATATGGAGGCTTGAGGTAATTTATTCTAATTATTTTTATTGATGGTTGATTATACTGAGGTAAGTGCATTGCATGCATTCTGATATTGGTATTGTCGAAGTAAACTAGTTAGAGGCCATTGGTATAATGGCTTGCCTAGGGTTGAGCAGTTGCGTCTTGGTGTCTCGAGATTATTCACCATAGTAGAGCAACTTTGTGACAGTATTGACACTTCGGTGCTTTTGGAACTACGAGTTTGAAGTACTTCGGTGCATTTGGACCCTCGGGTTCATCTACTATAGAGGAGCGATTCCCCATCAGTATAACACTTTGGATCACATCACCTAAATAGATCCCTATTAGAGTTTACTTCATGTGTCCTTAATAATTTATATGATGAATCATAAATATTGATGATTATATGCATGATATAGATGCACTTGCTACTGATGAACATATGCATGATATACATACGCTCGTTACTGATGAAATACGCATGTTATATATACGCTTGCTACTGATGATAATATGTATGATATACATGTTCTTGCTATTAATGATTATATGTATGATATACATGTGTTTTCTACTAATGATTATATACATGATATACATGTGCTTTATATTAATGATAACATGCAGATATACATGTGCTTGTTATTAATGATTATATGCATGATATACATGTGTTCGCTAGCAATGATTATATACATGATATACATGTGCTTGATATTAATGATTACACGCATGATATACATGTGCTTGCTATTGGTGGTTATATGCATTATCTTTTACTAATGTTGATGACAGGGTTAAATACATTACTCTGGATAAGACAATTGTCGGATAAATAGTTAATGATGAACTATTATGATGGAACTACTTTATTGAATTATATGAATATCATAGATTGGATATTTATCGTGCCATTACATAATGAACTTAAAGTTACTAGGATCGCGAATATGTTATAATGAGTAAGGTAATTTGATGAGAAAATACATGGTATCTTCTAGACCTTAGGTAAGTACAATGAACTCGACTGATAATGATAAGACTATGAGAACATTGATTAATGACTTAATTTCATATATGGCTAGCATGTTGACTTTATGAGACTCGTGAAATATAGTAGAGTCGATGTGTAAATGGACTTAATAGCTCACCCTTTTAATTAGTACCTTTCCATGTTCAGGTTTTGGGGATCAAGATGGGACAACGATGTCATCATAGGAGTCTTAGTTGGAGTATCAAAGTACAACGACACAAACTTGAGTGGGCATGTAGTGCTTATAATTTTATTTGAGTTTGTTGTAATTATTTACTTACATATTTTGGTTTTCAAATAAAGGAGCTCCGCCTTTTCTAAATGTCTATTTTTTATACTGGCACTAATGGTTTTAACTTGTAAGTAAATTATATTTTTCTCAGTCTTGATTTGTAGGATTACTTCAGTGTTTCAATGTGACATTGTCAATTTAGACCAGATCTCTAGGTCGGGTTTAGTGTGTTACAAATATTTCTCTCATCTCGTGGATATTCCTAATGACAGTTATTCTTTGAGGTTATTGAGTTTGTTCTTTTGTAACAATTTCCCATTTTAATGGAAAGTTGTTCAAAATAATCTTGTTGAGATTCTAAATTCACTTCTTGATTAACGACATGTAATTCTTCAGAAAAATTCAATCTTAAGTTTCTTAAGTCTTGAAGCAATATAAATCATATCCATAATATACTCCCTCACATTTCCTTGACCCTTATACTTTATAGACATCAAAGAAATCTAAATTCATGTCATTTAAACTTTATTATTTTTTAAAAATATTTCTCAAATTTGTCAAGGAAACCATTGGCCTAAATAATCTTTTCAAATTATATGCCCCTAAGTGCTTATAAGATGTTACGTTTCATGACCACTAGACTCATGTAATTTGAATAAATTTTACCTATTAAAATACCTTCTACCAATTAAGGGTATTATCCCACATGAGAGGTGGAAATTGTTCTTTCCTTAGTGCAAAGTTTATGTTCATACAACCAAAACCTTATATAAGTTTATTTTTTTCATTCCTTGAGATTCCTTTTCTGAAGCATGAGTAGAATATGTATAATAAAAGATATTGTGATAGAAATAAATAAATAATTAGCTTAATAAAGAACAAAACATAAATAAAATTGAAGCTCACATCTTAAGTAAACAAATAAATTCAAAATTATGGCTAATTTTCATCTCAAGGTACCAAACACTACATCAATATCAAGTCTTTGGACAATAATCTTAACAGTAAATAATACTCTTGTTTTAGTAATCAAACAGTGACAATAAGCTATGTCGAACAATGTCGTAACCATTTTTCGGCGAGGATAATCGTTTAATTGTTTTAAAAACAAGTTACGACTTTTTATTTTGGAAAATGGGTGATTTTGGAGTAATTTGAAATAAATTGAAAAGAATTAAAAAGAGTCGCCATCAACCTTTGGGTTAGGTAGGTCGAATACCTAAAAACGTCTTTTAAAAATAATTTTAAGAAAAATCATTTTTTAAGACAAAAGCTGGTCTGTGTTTACCAAAGATTCGTTTAAAACGGGTTCGGGAGTCGGTTACGCGTGGGGAAGGATTAGCACCCCCACAGCGCCCAAAATTGGTACTGTTTCGCTTATACGTTGTCGTAAATGGTGAAAATCATGAATTAAATATAAAATTAAATTATGATCCATTTATTAAAATTTAATTAATTTGCTTCAAATTAATAACTTAAATAAGAAATTCAAAGAACTGAAATAAAACAAATAAATATTACAAATCAAAATAAAAATAGCAAACAATAAATATTTAAATTTATAAAGACTAAAATAATAAAAAAAACCTTAAGAATCAAAATAACAAAATTTAAAAATTAAAGGACTAAAATAACACAAACAGAAATTTAAAAGACTAAAATAGTAAAAATATAAATTTTGAAGACCAAATATCACAAGATGAAATTTAAAAGACTAAAATGGCAAAAACAAAAACTTTTCAATTATGAAAGAATATCATTTCATTATTACTGCAATTTATGGTGGTAATAATGGTATTTTCAGAAGACAACTATAGAATGATCTCAGGTATATTGAATCTAACTTCGACAACCTTCCCTGGATATTGGGGGGCGATTTCAATGTAATTCTTCATAATTATGAAAGCTCTGACTATGAACATATGGGAATGATCACATCTTCAGATACGTTAGAATTTCAAGAAACTTGTCAAGACCTTCAATTGCAAGATCATCCTTATTTTGGTCCTACTTTCTCATGGAGCAACAAGCAAAGTGGCAACTTCTTGGCTCAGAAACTTGACTGTGTTTTAATCAATCCTTTGTGGTTTGATTTTCCCCCCTATCTTGTGTGGAATTCATGGCACCGAGCTCTTTTGATCATTGCATGGCTGTGGTGAACTTAAGTAAAGAGGTCCATGCTAATAGACCCAAACCATTTAAATTCTTTAATTGTTGGACGCTCCATCCAAACTTTCTGGAAACTGTGAGACAATCCTGGAATCTGGAGACTGAAGGTAATCCAATGAAGATCTTATTCACAAAGCTCAAGCGTCTTAAATCTAGTCTTAAAAAACTCAACAAAGACTATTTTAGTGACATTACTTCTCGAGTTGTACAAAAGATAGTTGAACTTGAATTGCAACAAATTCATACCTTAAGAGGTGATGGTCTATTGGAGAAAGAACTTGAATTACAAAGAGTTACAATAAGCCGAATCGATGTTTATGAAACAAAAAGCAAAGGTGCATTGGATTAAAGAAGGTGATAGATGTACAAATTTTTTTCATTCGGTCATAGCTTCCAAGACCAAAAGACAGACTATAAGAGTCTTGGTCAATCAACAGGGGGATAAACTTGAATCTTTTGAAGATATGTCTGGGGAAATTATTGATTACTTCAAAAATTTATTAGGATCTCTAGATCCTAATACCAAAGTTTTCCCTTATCCTATTATTAAGGATTTGGTTCATCCTATTTCTTCCTCGGATGAAAAAGAAATGATTGCAAAAGAAGTTACCAATGAGGAGATTAAAGAAGCCATCTTTGGTCAAGGCCACGATAAGGCTCCGGGCCCTGACGGATATTCCGCTTTATTTTTCAAAAAAGCTTGGAATGTGGTTGGTAATGATGTTCTTAAGGCTGTCAAATATTTCTTTCAAGAATCTTTAATTTATCCAGCTTTCAATTCGACCACTATTGCTTTAATTCTTAAAATGCCAAATCCAAGCAAAGTTTATGATTTCCGTCCAATATCATGTTGTTCAATGATCTACAAAGCAATTACTAAGATCATGGTCAATAGGATATCTTCTTTGCTTCCTGGGATTATAGCTCTTAATCAATCTGCTTTTGTCAAAGGAAGAAGTATTGTTGATAATACTCTTCTTGCACAGGAAATTGTCAAAGGGTATGGAAGGAAATTGATATCACCAAGATGTGCTTTAAAAATTGATCTTCAAAAAGCTTTTGATTCCATTAATTGGGATTTCATTTTGGCAATCCTCAAAGCCTTGGATATTCCATCTAAAGTTATTGACTGGATTTCTACTTGCTTCTCGAATGCTTGATATTCAATTGCCTTCAATAGAAGTTTGGTTGGTTATTTCAAAGGTGCAAAGGGGATACGACAAGGAGATCCACTTTCTCCTATCTAATTTGTTCTTGTTATGAATGTCCTGTCCAATCTTCTCAATAATGCCACTTCTAAAGGGATATTTTCTTTTCATCCTAAATACAAGAACCTTGGACTCACACATTTGTCCTTTGCGGACGACTTACTAATTTTCTGCAAAGGTAAGCTTGAGTCTGTTCTGGGCGTCACAACAGTCTTGGACTGCTTTTATGAATATTCTGGATTGAAGCTTATTGCAGGAAAATGTGAATTCTTCACGGCTGCCATCTCCCATAATACTCTTGAAGCAATTATAAGTTCTACTGGCTTTAAACAGGGAAGTCTTTCGGTTTGTTATTTGGGTGTTCCTCTGGTCACAAAGAAACTAACCGAAAAGGACTGTCAATCTCTTATTAACAACATCACCAACAGACTTCATCAATGGTCTTCAAAGAACATGCCTTATGCGGGCAGAGTGGAACTTGTCAAGACCGTACTTTATAGCATTGCTAACTATTGGTGTCGTCAACTTGTCCTGCCTCTTTCTATTATCAAAAAAATTGAACAATTATGTTCAAGATTTTTTTGGAAAGGCTCGGATACAAAAGCTACAGGAGCAAGGGTGAGTTGGAGGAAGATTTGTAACCCAAAGTCTAAAGGCGGTTTAGGAATAAAGGACATTAAAACCTGGAATTATGCGAGTTTGATTCACCTCACTAGAAAACTCCTTGCTGGTAAAGGTTCTCTTTGGGTGGCATGGATTCAAATTAATTTCATTAAGAACCAGGATTTTTGGACTATGTCTGAACCGCATAACTTAAGCTGGATTCTTAAACGAATTTTGAAAATGCGATGCATAGCCAGTGCCGTGTTGCTGTCTGAACCGCATAACTTAAGCTGGATTCTTAAACGAATTTTGAAAATGCGATGCATAGCCAGTGCCGTGTTGCTTTCTTCTGCATCTAACACTACGCAAATTTGGAATGGGATTCGGCCTAAAAATAGCAAAGTCATGTGGCATAAGTTGATCTGGTTTTCTCTTCATGTACCGAAGTATAGTATTATTTCTTGGATGCTCATTCTGGATCGTCTTCCTACCAAGGACAGATTACACCGATTCAAGATTATTTCTAATGCTGATTGTATCTTCTGTAATGATGGAATAGAAACAAGAGACCATCTTTTTTGCAATTGTAGGTACACAGCTTCTATTTGGACTTCTCTGCTCCTTCTGTCTGGTTTCCATATGTCTTTCTCCTCTTGGTCCAGTATGTTGGAATGGGCATCAACCTCAAGGAATGGGAAATCTTTGATTTCAACTGTTCTAAGACTTTCTTGGTGTGGGTTTAATTACATCATTTGGGAAGAAAGAAATCGAAGGATCTTTACTGGGAAAAGTCGAACCACCACTGAAATCATCAACAATGTTAAAATGATTGTTGGGATTGTTCTAAATAACAAGTCCATTGATAGAAACGATAGCATTAACTTATCTTTATGTAGCAATTGGGGTATAGTTTAATTTTGTTTGTACATATGTTCCCATTCTTTTGAATCTTGATTGTATTCTTTTGTAGCAGGTTCTGCTATTTGGGTAATAAAGCTTAATTATCCAAAAAAAACTTTTAAATTTTAAACAGTAATTTCAAAAACTTAAAGGACAAAAATAACAAAAACAGAAACTCAAAGGACCTAAATAAAATAAACAAAAACTCAAATGACTAAAATATTATTTACAAGAGTTTAAAGATCCAAAATAACAAAAATAGAACTTAAAGAATTAAAAAGAAAAAAATTAAAGGACTAATAATAAAACAAGACCCTTTATTTAATCAGTTTCTATACTGTATGCTTTGTACTTCACGTGAAAGTATAGCCTTCCTCCTATCCATGTTTTGTTACTAACGAAAAAAGTTGGAATAATTATGGTGTGCATTTGATTTGTTCTTAAAATATTTATTTACCTAAAGCATTACACATTAAAATATGTTTTGTCGGTGCTATTACAACTACAAACCATACTCCCATATATGTTTGGTCAAGTTTCATTATTATTAACAGAATAAATAAATACTAAAAAACAAGAAACATGAATTATAATTAAACATAAATACTAACTAGTGGCTAAAATAACATATTTATAAATTGCATAGCCAATTTTCGAAATTTAAGGAAAAACATAAAATGATTAAAATAGGATGAATTCAAAAATAAAAGGATTAAATAGTAATTAAGTAAAACATCCAGTAAAGACTAAAATAAACAATTATAAATATTATAACCAAAATCAAAATATTAAAAAAAATATATAACATACTAAATCAATGACTAAATTGGAATAATTACGAATATGATAACCAAAATCGAAAATAATAAAATAATTAAAATAAGACTAAAATAAAATAAAAAAACATTTAAAAGACTAACTCATAAATATACATAAATATCGAATAACATAATAATAGGTTTTTTAATAATATACAATTAAGAAATAAATAAACATTATATATTAATAAAACATTGAATCAGAATAATAACATTGAAATGAACTAAACAAACAAAACATTTATTTTCCAAACAATAATTAAAGGATTAAAACAAAAGTTAAACAAGTTTAGAAATCGAAACATTAATGATTATTAAATTACGAACATAGGTCTAAATAAAATAAAATAGGAATAAAAAACATAAAACATATATTAAACCATAATATATGAGTAAAATACGAACAATAGTATGAGTCCAAAACCAAAACATAAACACAAAATAATTCAAAACTCAAAATATAATATGAGTAAATTCGATTTAAGGACTAAAATAGGATATTGTAAAATACAAAGGGCCCCAAATGAAATTAACTCAAACCCTATAGATATTAAAGATGGTGACTAGAATGAATGCATAACATGTGACTTAAAACATAAAATACACAATTTTACACAATAATAAACATTAAGGATTACAATCGAATAATATGCAATTAGAAGTCCAAAATATAAATAGGAATAAATACTATAACTAAATTATAGGGACTGAAATAAAATGTAAAATAAAGATACAAAATTAGAAACATAAAATTGTTGGATTTAGGGACCAAGTTAAAATGCACGTAGAATATGAAGGTAAAATTAAAAGGCTCAGGAAACATGAATTTTAGGACCAGAAATAAACCCATTTGCACAAAATGAATTTTCTAACCTCTGTTAAACAATACACTACACTGGAAACAGAAACTTACAAGATTGCTTGGTACCCTTTTTATTGTTAATGCTTCGCTGGAATTAAAACTTTAAATTAATATTATTTAACCTAATAACTAAATCTCATCCCTTCTAAGCCTAACCCACTATCGTCGTTTCTCTCATCTCCTCCACATCTCTACTTCTTCTACATAAACGGCTGCCATGGCCTGAACCAAAGCCATCAGACTGACCACGACAAACTTCAACTGGTGCTAAACTCTAATTGAAACACACTATACGACGATCCCTAAGAACCGAGCCTCCACTTCTCCCATTATTTCCCTCGACCGATTACTCTCAAAAGCTACCCAAAACCCACTGTTCGGGATTTAACCACCTGACAACTAGGCCTCTTGGCCTTGAGGACCATCACTCCGGTCATGGAAGCCTGCAACACTAAGGTAAGAACTCAATCTTTATTTATCTCTATTTTTTAATTTCTCAAGCTCTCTCCTAAGCTTTCGAACGACATCTATGTCCCCAGGAATCCACTGCTCGCTAACGCTCTGCCGGTTAAGGTAACCAAGATAAACCTCTCTTTCTTTACTCATATTATTTTTGAAACAAAAACACACACTGGAAAATGAAAATGAACTTAAAATGAATATATACCTCAAGCAAATACTATTGTCCTTGTGAATGATTGATATTTTCCTTCGAAATTGAAGAATGAAATAAAAAAAATTACTTCATATTATTGCTCCGAAAATGATGGTCGAGAGACTTTTAAAAACTGTTTTCGTTTTCTCCCAAAACCCAAATCGACTTCCTCTCTTTTGTTTTTCATATCATTGCCCCCTGATGAATATTTTTTTATGTTATTGATATCTCTCCCCCTCCCAATCTGGTCAAACACCCTTTAATTTATGCTTGATATCCTCACCAAATCTTCATGGTTGCATCTTGATTTTCTTCGTATTTGGTAAGATCCTCACTAATTTAGGTGAAATCATTAATTTGCTTGACTTTAGCTGATTGAAGCAGGTAATCTATCACTCTAGATGATTTGTGCAAATCATTGCGTCGGTGTTGGCTCAATGGCTCGGCCATGGCTCGTCGATGGCTCAGCTCATATCTGGGAGTTGGTCTGCTGTTGATGGATTACTGAGTGGATCCGGTTCTTGGGCTTGGCACAAAAATATAAACACACTTAATAATAATAATAATAATAATAATAATAATAATAATAATTTAATAATATTCTTTAACCCTGACAAAAAACGGGTGTCTACAGCTTCCCCTCTTTGCACATTCTTATGTTAACAAGAATAGGGCAAAGACGAAAAAGATAACCAGGTTTTTGTCCATTCTTCCTTCGTCGTTGGATTGAACAAGTTCTTCTCATTATGAACTTCTTCTCTCTCATGGATGAGTTCTTCTCATTATGAACTCTTCACTGAAAATATTGAGTCACCTATTTTTGTGGTGGACTTGAATGGAACAAGTTCTTTTTATTATGAACTTTCTCCTTTAAGACAAGTTCTTCTCATTATGAACTCTTTTGGAAATGTCAATCCCTCTAACGAGGCGTCACTGATTCGAAATATCGTGAATCGAGTGATAGGTCGAACAAGGTCTTCTCATTATGAACTTATTCTCTCTCTTTCGGATGAGTTCTTCTCATTATGAACTCTCCATTGAAAATGTTGATGCGAAGCTGAACAAGTTCTTCTCATTATGAACTTCTTCTTCCTCGTTGGATGAGTTCTTCTCATTATGAACTCTCCATTGGAAATGTTGATCCATCTCTTTATGTGATGGACTTGAAAGGAACAAGTTCTTTTCATCATGAACTTTCTCCTTTAGGATGAGTTTTTCTCATTATGAACACTTTTGAAAATGTCAATCCCTCAAGCGAGGTGTCACTGATTCGAAATGCAGTGAATCGAGTGATAGGTCGAACAAGCTCTTCTCATTATGAACTTCTTCTCCCTCGTTGGATGAGTTCTTCTCATTATGAACTTTCCATTGGAAATGTTGATCCATCTCTTTCTGTGATGAACTTGAAAGGAACAAGTTATTCTCATTATGAACTTTCTCCTTTAGGATGAGTTCTTCCCATTATGAACTCTTTTGAAAATGTCAATCCCTCAAGCGATGTGTCACTGATTCGAAATGTCGTGAATCAAGTGATAGGTCGAAGAAGCTCTTCTTATTATGAACTTCTTCTCCCTCTGTTAGATGAGTTCTTCTCATTATGAACTCTCCATTGGAAATGTTGTTCACATCCTTTTGCGGTAAATCTTAATTGTTATTGACTCTCTCTGAATTTCTGTCAAAACATTCAAAGCATTTCAATGAATATGAATGAATGAGCATGATCCTATTTATAGATGCTTACTGATGTATGCATGATGTCATTTTAATATTATGAACTTTGTGGCCCTACAAATCTTCATTTTAAATGCGTCATTTGTCCTTTCGTTTGCATTCCACATTTTGCTTGGGCTATTTTATGCAAATTCTCATTTCTCTTGTTCCCATGCAAATCCTTTTATGTTTCCTTTTGAACTGCTCATCTTTGTCATCGTATCAAATTATCAGTATTTTTAATGTTCTTTTTCTCAGCTCACATGCATTTTATTTGGTCACATATTACTCTAATCTTTTCGAGCATTAGGGCTAGAATCCCTGAAATTGTAAGTATTAATTCAGAGTAATACCAAAATTCTTTTTATTTTTTAATGCCATGTCAATCTACTTATAATAAGAATGAATAAAATTGGGACTTGAAATAACAAACTTTGAATTTACTGACAAGAAATTGAATTTACAAAGTTATGGCAATCACATGAATAATGGAAATTTAAAACCATAAGTCAAATGTCCTTATGATTCATTAGCACGAATGTTTCTGAATCAATCCACTTTATATAACTATTGAGTTGAGCTTCTGTCTGGAGGACTTCGAGAATTGCCAAAATGTCTATAGATGTGAAGCTTCTCTCAAAATATCAGACCCTCAAGAAGATTTAGTTGTCTGATGCCTAATCTCAAAATGCCTTTGAGCCGCCTTTTCAGGTTTTCAACTCAAAGTCTTCCTTTGGTTTCAAGATATCCTTTGCGGATTTTCATCTCAACCCCTCATTTTCTCTTTTCATTTTTTCATTTTTTTCATTTCTTTCATTTTTTTTTCTTCAAGCATAATACTTCTTGACAGAATCTGAGTTTACTGGATTTCTCAGTTTTTCTCCATCCATCTCTTCCAAGATCAATGCTCCTCCAAAGAAGGCCTTATTGACAACATATGGACCTTCCCAATTAGGCATCCATTTCCCTC